GTAAACGTCTCTGTTCTGCAGGTGGACTACGTGGAGCCGAGCCAGAACACCATCTCCCTGAAGATGATCCCTCGGATAGACCTGGACCGCATCAAGGCCAAGATGAGCCTGGTAGGTCAAACTCGAAGGTCTTTTCTGCACTCGAGTCGCTGCTCTGATGCGTAACTGTGCGTGTTTGTGTTACAGAAAGACTGGTTTGCCAAGAGGAAGAAGTTCAAGAGGCCTCCACAGAGGCTGTTTGATGCTGAGAAGATCAGGTAACGGCCTCGAGCATCCCGGGGTTCCTCGCTGAGGCGGCGGCTTGATGACACTCTGTGGTTTCACTCCTCAGGTCTCTGGGAGGAGAGGTCAGCCACGACGGAGACTTCATGATCTTTGAGGGAAACCGTTACAGCCGCAAAGGATTCCTCTTCAAGAGCTTCGCCATGTCCGCTGTGGTGAGGAAGACTCTTCACAGACTCACTGTGAACCTGGCTTTGTGCTCAGAGCTGGTTTAAATAAGAGAGTGAGAGCTGCAGAGGAAGCGGGTTCAGTCCGCCTGCTGCAGGGATGCACCAACCACACGATCAGCAGTGGATCCTGTCAGTGTCCGTTCACATCATCAAACTTTATATGCAAACAGCTTGAAACTTGCAGATCTCACTCCTCGTCTACATGAAGCTCTGTTATGTGTGATGTTTCGCTCAGTGTGAGGCAGCAGGATGTTTGTTTAAGCCCGCCGAGCCCCTAACCACCGCACAGCTGAGCTCTTTAAACCTCACACAAACAGCTGCCGGCCCCGTTTCTTAGAGAGGTTTATTTTAGGCCGAGATAATAAATGAAATGAAACCGAGGCTAACGTTCGCTCTTTACCACAATTTATGCCCCTGATTTTGATCCAAAGTTAAAATGAGTTTAATGAATGTTTGTTGTAGATCACAGACGGAGTGAAGCCCACGCTGTCAGAGCTGGAGAAGTTTGAAGACCAGCCTGAAGGAATCGACCTGGAGGTGGTCACAGAGTCGGGTACGAGTCTTTCTGTAAATCTGCAGTCTTGTGAAAACTGCTGTGTGCGAGGCCGCCGGGCCCACGGTTACAGCGTGGGACGTCCCACAGCGGGACGATGACCCTGAGCGCAGCAGCACAGCTGAAAGGAGCAGAAGGGAGGAGCCGCTGTGGTGAACTCACCGCAGTCGGCTGCTCCTGTCGTAAGCACAGCGAGACGGATAAAGTTACAGAAACAATCGCTGCTGCTAAACGGCGTTCTGCTGCCTGCTGAGCCACGCAGCAGCTCAGTTTTCACAGCTCTGCAGAGAGTCTGTGAACTAATCACGATGTTATAAATCAGCTCAGTCATTCATACGCCTGTTCTTTCAGCTTAAACACAACTTAAACAGTTGGTTTATAAATCGCTACGTGTAAAACATGAACTCGTGTTTACGACGAAGCTTCAGTGTGAATCTGTGTGTGCGCTCAGGTAAGGAGCGTGAGCACAACCTGCAGGCCGGCGACAACGTGGAGGTGTGTGAGGGCGAGCTGATCAACCTGCAGGGAAAGATCCTCAGCGTGGACGGCAACAAGATCACCATCATGCCCAAGCACGAGGACCTGAAGGTACGCACGCACACGCACGTCAGTAACATCAGCTGAGGCGCCGCAGACGCGTCAGAGCTGTTCTTCAGCTTCCAGGAAGCAGTTTTCCATCGCTGTCTGCTGTTTTAAATAACGCCTCAGCAGGTAAACGGACGCACTCGTCCGTCTTTGTCGATCGAAGCTTCACGGTTTTAACAGCAACGCTGCGCTTGGAGCATTTTTACTGCTTCCTGCAGCAGGTGCTGGTTTGGCAGCTCTGGTTACAGACACAGGAGTCATAACTTTAACCTTTTGATTGGTTATTCGTTCAGAGCCACGCCTCCTCATTGCAGAGGAGTAGAGGGCGGGGCTTACTGTAACGCAGCATCAAACGTTATCTGGTGTAACTCTGTACATGACCGCCTCCCCTCTGTCCTGTGTGTGCTCCGTGCAGGACCCTCTGGAGTTCCCGGCTCACGAGGTGAGGAAATATTTCCGGATGGGCGACCACGTGAAGGTGATCGCCGGGCGATACGAGGGCGACACCGGCCTCATCGTCAGAGTGGAGGAGAACTTTGTCATCCTGTTCTCCGACCTCACCATGCACGAGGTAAGAGGCTTACAGTGTCTCCACCCACCGTCCCCCTCTGCCAAGTCTCAGGTCAGAGTCCTCTGGTGGAAAATAAGACGTTAAATGAGGGTTCGGGCTTGATTTGGAAAGTTGAGGCGCAGTTTAATGACTCTGTAGTCATAACAGTGTCGTGTGGTGAGAGCCCAGCACTGGCTTATCGCTGGAAGTCCTTATTTTTGGGGAATGAAACAGTTTTAATAGCATGCTAACATGACTGTGATCCGCTCTTCCTGTCTGCAGCTGAAGGTGCTGCCCAGAGACCTGCAGCTCTGCTCTGAGACCGCGTCCGGCGTCGATGTAGGCGGGCAGCACGAATGGGGCGAGCTGGTGCAGCTGGACCCGCAGACGGTCGGCGTTATTGTTCGGCTGGAGAGGGAGACATTCCAGGTAATAGTCCGCTCCGGGGAGCGCAGAAAGCGCGGCGGTTGATGGACGATTAACGAACGCCTTCTTCGTCTTTCAGGTGCTGAACATGCACGGGAAGGTGCTGACCGTGCGCCACCAGGCGGTGAACCGCAGGAAGGACAACCGCTTCGCCGTGGCGCTGGACTCGGAGCAGAACAGCATCCACGTGAAGGACATCGTCAAAGTCATCGACGGGCCGCACTCTGTAAGCGCGACTTCACCCACAGCTAAATATTTATGCTGTCAGCGCCGCCGTGCGCTCGAGCGTCAGCTGAACGCCTCTGCAGGCAGAAACCTTTAACGCTCGCGTGTTTCCTCCTGCAGGGCCGGGAAGGCGAGATCCGTCACCTGTTCCGAGGCTTCGCTTTCCTGCACTGTAAGAAGCTGGTCGAGAACGGAGGAATGTTCGTCTGCAAGACCAGACACCTGGTGCTGGCGGGCGGGTCCAAGGTCAGCACCTCATGCTCGCTTCTTCTTTGTTGTGCCTGAAAAGTAGGAAAGCGTCTGCTTTTCCAGGCCCTCCAATATCTCATGTAACCATGTGAAATCTGAACCGGACGTCGTCCTTGGCAACTTGAATAAAAATGTGTTTTGAGTGTGAAGGAGCTCTGAGGAGCGTCCAGGGTTGTGTAACAGTGTTTGGGCTGTAGGGGGGAAACGTGGAGGGCCTTCATCAACAACATCAAACCCAGGAAAAGTTTTCCGTATGTGGAAGAATTACTGCCATGTGCTGGGAACTGTCATCCTGTGTTTAATGAGTCTGTCAGCAGAGCAGTGGCAGCAGGCCTGCGCTACGACATCACAGAGAAACAGCCGTGTGTTTGCCTTTCTGAAGATGAGGGTCGGGTCGTAGTGGACGCGTTTGCTTCCACTTGGAGACGCTGCACCCGTCTCCCCACCTCATGAAATCGATTCAAGCGCGCCTGCCGACACGGCGTCGGAGGTCCAGTTCTCTTCCAAATGTGTAAAAGTGTAAAGCAGAGCCGTCCTGACCCGACCTCTGCAGAGCGTGCCGCGCTTTCACTGGACCGACTCGCCCAGCGTTTCACACGCAGCGCAGAAAACGATTCGTCAGATTTCTTGTGGCATGTCAAGCTTGAACAATTTGACTGTTTGTGTGTTTTAGCCCAGAGACGTGACCAACTTCACAGTGGGAGGATTCGCACCGATGAGCCCTCGCATCAGCAGCCCCGTGCACCACGGCGGAGGAGGTGAGTGGGGAGGAGGGGGGTGCCGCTCTTTGGAAAACACGATGAGGGGATGAAAATAAGTCAGCTGAAGGTTTTTCACTCGAGAGAACAAAGCGTATATCTGGCTTTGTTTGCGACCGCAGCTGCAGTGAAATCCAGATTCCCTGATTACGATCGATCGATCTGTCAGCAGATTGTTCTGTCTCTGATTAGAAGAAATGTTCGACTGTGATCAGTTTGCTGACGCTGACGAGTCGTCATGGTTTTCTGTCTCTGGTGTGAAAGAAACAAAATGATTCGCTGACTGATGGAGGTGCTGGTGTGGCCTTTCAGGTGCTCAGCAGAGAGGAGGAGGCGGAGGAGGAATGGGGCGGGGCCGAGGACGCAGAGACAACGAGCTGATTGGTCAGACGGTCCGTATCTCCCAGGGTCCTTACAAAGGTAAGACTGAGGGGACCGGCGTGCAGATGGGACCCGTGGGGGGGTCGGTGCTGATGGCTTTGCCTCCCTTCCCCAGGATACATCGGTGTGGTGAAGGATGCAACAGAGTCCACGGCCAGGGTGGAGCTGCACTCCACCTGTCAGACCATCTCTGTGGACCGACAGCGATTAACCACCGTGTACGTCTCTTCACACACAGGAAGTCTTTCATGCTTCATTGTTTTCTCCGTGCTGCAGCAGCTGTGTTTGTTCATGCTCATGATTCCCTTCTTCTCTGCAGCGGTGGAGCTAAGAGGCCCAGTGGGTTCACCTCCACCCATGTACGTACTCCCATCTACGGCTCCCAGACTCCCATGTACGGCGTCGGCTCCAGGACGCCGATGTATGGATCTCAGACTCCGCTGCACGACGGTACGCCACGGTTTGGTCGTCCTCTGTCAGTTAGACAGTGTTCAGTTAGTGTTACAGTGTTCAGCTTGTGTTACAGTGTTACAGTGTTCAGTT